AGGTGGCTTCTACCATTCTAAAATCATCCCCGAGAAGCTGATCACCCGCTTCGTGCCCTTCCTGCCCCTGAGCCGGCTGCACGTGGAGCGCTGCGCCCGGCGGGAGCTGTGCCAGCGCGGGATGTGCCACCGGCGGGACGTGATCCGGGCCGTCTCGGGGGCCGTGCCCTACTTCCCGGCGGCCGAGCAGATCTTCTCCCAGACCGGCTGCAAGACCGTGCCGCCCAAGATCAACCTCTTCCTCTGAGGGCGTGGGGGGGGGGGGGGGGGTTGGGGAGACGAGCTGCCTTCAGCGACTGCCCCTCGTTATCCTGGACCTCTGGGCAGACGTGTGAGACCGTGCCCGGCTCTGGCTGGTGTTGCGGGCAAGCTGCGGCTCTTTCGGGGGCTCTCCTGCACGTTCTGCAGGCTTGCAAAGAGACAGGGCTCCTGCCACCCGAAGGACTTTCAAAGAGTGACAACTGTTGTGTATTCGGGTGATCTAAAGAGCCCAAGGGAATCTTAGAATCCCTAACCAGGAGCACGGTTATTCATTTGTTCACCCACCAAGGCTGTAGGCCGTAGTTCGGGTTCTGGTGCACTGCTCGTTGAGGGTTAATCACAACCAGTGAAGCCGTACCCTGCTGGCAGATGTCTTGCTCCTGTTCCAGGGGGATCTGTGCTGAAGCCCTCAATACTCAAAGGCTCTTGAGTACAGGTCCTTCTCGGCTTAACTATACTCCTGCCGTTACCAACGGGGATGGGGGGGGACAGTTTAGTGTTCGGTCTGACAAGCGGTAGCTGTTCTGAATCCTGTTTGTGTATGAACCGTCCTCGGGGGGCAAAGTGTAGGAGTCCCCTTTGACCTCAAGAAGGTGTTACCGAAGGGAGAGGGCCGTGGCTGCTTTGGCTATGTGATCAGGCTGCCCTGTGTTCAGAGGTTCCCCTGGTTACACTAAGACCCGTCCAACGAGTGCAGTGGACTGCCCCAAAAGGGGGTTGACTCCAGTCTCCTGCTGCATCTACAGCACCAGCCCCTGCTCTTACTGGATGCCGATAACGCTGACCGCTATTTGGCTTAAGCAGTCCTCAGATCAGGAGGGCCTTAGGAAGCTGGTCTCTGGTAGACAGAACTTGGAGAAACGCAGACCCGCGACACGCGCTCGGCCTTTCTTACATGCTGCTACGCAAAATATCGAACGGGGAGACCCAACAGCACAGAAGAGAAGGGAGTGTTGTCCGGTCCTGACGCTGGCGCACCAGTGTGTCTGTGGGTCTTGGGAGGAAGGAGGAAGTTTCCAGCCCACGCACTGTGAAAAGGCTAGGCCTACTCGAGGTTCGTTTTCAGATTTGGGGGGTGTAGTTCGATTGATGCCATGTGTGGAAACACCAGCAGAACCCAACACCTCCGTTTTTGAGAATTGCATTCTCTTGCTCCGGTCAGCAGATGGCACCATTGTCAAATAAGTGGGCCCAACAGCCAGAAGGAAAGACTGAAGCAGTGCTGATGGAAATGGAGTTCTCTGGACTGCATGCCTTTTTAATATTTCCTTTCCTTTTGCAAAAAGGGATTTTATTTATTTTAAATTGGAATGGATTTTAAAAGCCTCACGTGGGATCCCATCGGTTTCGTTTCTGTGCTTTAAACTAGGATGCCACAGCTGGGCTTGAGCCTAGATTCAGTAGGTCTGCGACATTGCTCCTGGCACAGGCAGTGAAGATACACCAGGCCCAGAGTGGATGAGCTCGCCCCTCTGATTTTCATCGGCCTTCGGGTTTTCCGACCCCTTCATTTCCGAGGGGGTTTTTGTGCCTGCAAAACAGGACAAGGTTCGCGATGTGGCCTCCCACTGTGTGGTCGGATCGCGTCTTCAGCCCGTCTCCCATTTTGTTAAATGGAAAAAAATCGGATCTCGTGGTGTTTTCTGTTTTAAAAAAAACTGGAACCGTTTTGGGAAACGAAAACTCAGGCCACAAATACGGTACGCAATCTCTGAACTCAGTTGCCAGATCCAGAGGGGTTGGGTCTGATGACAAACCTGCAGTGTGCTAGGGCTTATATTTTGTGGCCCTGAGCCCAAAGTGAAACACATCTGACTAAAATCAAGTATTGAAACGCTACAGAGTGTTTTTTTTTTATTTAAACAAATAGCTCACTTGCTTATTTTCATGTCAGATTTCTCTGAGCCACATGAGCTGCCTCTTGCTGTACAATTGTTATACAATTGATCATCAGAGCTACTGCCCATGTACATCCGTGTAATACTGTATAGTACTGTATGTCTTAATGTGTGTGTTGCGTGTATGAGCGCTTCTGTGATTTTTTTTTTAGGAGAGCGTGCACTGTAGTCTTCCCAGACACTGAGGCCTGGGAATGTAGAAGGGGCTAAATTGTTCCCATCGGCTGTTGCAGATCCCACCCTCTCGCGGGCGTCTGAGCGTGCTCGGTGTGCCAGTGGGCGTGCGCGGCAGGAGAAGCTGTCTGGAGGGAGTGAGTGGGCACGGGGAGGGGGGGGGCGGGGTGTGTGCCCAGCCAGATGTGCGGGCCAGCTGCATGCCAGCGTACAAGACTCCCTTGTAGCTCGTGGTTTAACTGTATCGTCCTGTGCCTTCCTGCTGTTTATTATAGCAGAGCACACGCGTGTGAGAATAAAAAGCTGCAATATAGCAGGGTTTTTTTTCCCCTCTCGTAGTTGATTAATTAATTGGCCCAGTGACCTCATGTGTCCGTTCTTAGTTGGTGTCGGGGTTTTTTTTAGGCTGATAAGGTTTATTTGATTTTCTCCTCCTACGCCAAAGCGTTCCAGCAGGAAAGGTTGTCCTGGCTGAAGGTGAGGAGGCAAAGTGGGTATCTTTAGTCCCTGAACAATGTTGTCCCAACACTTTTGTCCTAACCCTAACCCAACACAATGTGTCCCACGCACCTTCTTCTTTTAGATAAAAGAATCTGAAAAACCGCAGCGAACAATCGTACTTGTTCACTGCAGCAAATAAAACAGGTAACCCCCCCCCGAAAAAATGAAAATCCCAGTTTCCAATTGCATTTTTGCTCTAGTAACCCGTATGAAGGATGTTTCTTTTTTGGAAGTCAAGCCCATTCTTGTATTCCTATGCTATTTGTTTTATTTGGACAACCAGTATTCATTCCTCCTCATATTGGGTCCAAATGCCTTTGTGTGCCATATCCCATTGGCCATCAGTGGTGTACAGTGCATCGTGAAATAAAACAGCGCATTTCATAAATCTGAAATGTCCAGTCTGTACAATTATTTTTGTAATGTTATTCTGCTTCGGAGATCATGTGTAGTAAAACAGTGCTGGTGGGACAGGTTGTTAATGGTAGTGTTCCCAAACAGCTAGTTTAAAACTTATTTGTAGTGAATGATTTACTAATTTATTTGGTAGGCAGCTTTGTCCAAAGTTGACTTTTTTTTTAGCAGACTTTACTGCTGGGTGTTTGCCTGGTGGAATCTGAGTGAAGTATCTTGCTCAAGAGGACAGCAGCAGTGCCAAAATTCACCATTGGAACCCTCAAGTGTTGAGCTGTGAGCGCAGAACCTTGACCGCTGTTCAACATACTGTACTGCTGTCAGGGCACTGTTCCTACAGCACAAGAGCAAATCCAAGTTATCACAGCGGAAAGTACAGAGAGACAACACGAAATGATAATCTGTGGAACCTATCTGGGGGAAAGGAGGAGCAGAAATATGAATGTGAGGGCAGGTGAGAGGTTAAGGTAGATAAAAGGGGCCCAAAAAGATGTGAATCTAGGTGACAGATTCCAGGAGGAATGAAATACACTCAGAAGAAGCTGTAGCAGTAGTAATATTAAAACAAACCAACCCATATGAGAATTTAGTAAACAAGTATTTATTACATTTTAGGGCAGCTACAAAGCACAAAACTCACACCAATCTCCTGTATCCCCCTCTCACTCCATCCCCTCAGTGTAACCCCAGCGTATCCTGTACCCCACTAATCTGCGGATACTGTTATCCAGGGTGATGTCTTTGTTTCCAGCTTGGATCTTAAGGGGGGAAATTGGTAGCTTTCTTTTTTTTTTAATTCACCGCATTCTGCTTATAAAGAAGGTTTGTATGTTTTTTTTCTTCCTGAACTCCTGGAAAAAAAAATGAAGGGCCTTTAAGATAGGGACTTCAAACTTCTGGAAGTAGGCTTGGCTGTATATCCCAACGGGAAGGACTCGGGGACCAGTGGCATTTGCCTGCTTTGTCATGTTACGAAGTCGAGTGTCTCGCAATTGCATCCCTTATTTTCCCCAGAGTCAACATGTGGGGGTGTAATCATGAAAAGGG